AAAATAAATAATAATTAAACAATTATATTAGTAAAAAATTTGGGGTGTTACACTTATTCACTAATACGATTTTCTCAATAACCAATTTATACCGGAGTTAGTTTGATTATGCATAATAATATATATTTAAAATATTTTTTTAATTCCTATAATTTTACTTATTTTATCTTTTAATTCCTATAGTTTAAAACATATATATATTTTTAGTCTACATACTTATATTTTTCAATCCTCTTTAGTCCATATATAGTTGAGATAAATCTTTTAAGTTCTTATATTTGCAAATTTTTAATCTTTTTAGTCTTTGCCATTAATTTTTTTTTTTTGCAAGGTTATTTGTTTTGTGTTGACATGAAAGAAATATTAATTCAACTTTGTATGTTTGATATTGAATTTATTTTACTAAAGTTATTCTAAACTAAGTCTTTTAATCCTTCATGTCTCTTTTGTACCTTTACTCCATTGTTGAAACATCTTCTTTTCACTCTCACAAAATGGAAAACCTTTGCTGCCTCCACACAAAACAGATAAGGTTACAAAAGAAAAATTAACGATAAGTGCAATGACTTAGTAGATCCCTACATTTATAGCTCAACAACCATAGTAGTGAAAATCATAAATCTAATTAACTAGGATTAACATGCAAGCAATAGTTATTCCAAGAATAAGTCTTGATAGACTTATTCCACTTAACAACTCATATTTTACATAAAATTTTTACAATCTAATCATTAAATTAAAAGTTCTTAATACATAAATCAAATTTATAAATTTTTAAAAGTTTAAAAACTATTGGATACTTTGTTTCATTAATTTAAATTGACGGATTAATCATAAAAGTATTTTATACACTGATTTGAATTAATGGATCATAGTATCAATAGTTTTCAATTTTTTTTTTTAAATTTAGAGACTTGATCTATGCATTAAAAACTTTTAATTCAACAATTGGATCATTAAAATTTGATCTAAAATATGAGTTATTGATTGAAATAAATTTAAAAATATTTACTCTTAAATTAAGTAAATATGTCATATATATATATATATATATATATATAATTACTAAGGAAGAAACTTCTTTTAAGTGTCAAATTAATACCATGGATAGGTGTCAAATCTCTAAATAAGTGATTTATATTGACTGTATTTATCTATCATATTTGATCATGAAGAATTTTTTTTTCGAAATCTAGTATGACCTAACATGTTTGGACCATTGAATTACTACTTATGAGTCTCTTTTTGATATTTTTTCTAAAAATATTTTGTTTTATTCTATAATTTTATTAATTTTATCATGTAATTACTAAAGTTAAAATTTATAAAACTATGTGGATATGTCATGTTACATTTGTATTTAAACTTTTTATTTCTTTTCTTATTCTTTTTGTGTTATATATATAAAGGAAGATTTATTTATTTTAAGAGTAAATCAATTTAAATTTATTTTGTCTACTAATATTGCTGAATTAAAAAAATTTAATGTATAAATTAAGTTTATAAATTTTTAAAAAATTAAAAATTATTTAATATTTTATTTTATTAATTTAAATTAATGGATAATAATATTTTATTATTTTATTATTTAAGAAGAAGAAGAAAAAAAGGAGGAAGAAGAAGTAGAACCGATTGTAGGGGACAAGTTTAGCGAGTTAACAATGAAAGGAAACTGGGATGTAGTGATTGGCATGTTGGAAGAAAACAAGGCATTGTGCAGGATGAATATCAACGAAAGCAGAGGCACCGTACTCCACGTGGCAGTGAACGAGGGGAAGGAAGAAGTGGTGAAGAGTGTGGTGAAAGCAATCACAGAGCACGACATGAGCAAGGCCTTTGAATCGAGGAACGAGAGAGGGGACACTCCTCTTCATCTTGCAGCAACGAGGGGGTTCCAGAATATCTGCGAGTTGATCATAGGAGAGAAAAAAGAGAGGAAGCATTTGGTTAAGATTCACAACAAAGAGGGAGAGACACCACTGTTCCATGCTGCATTGTCGTGGCAGAAAGCAACGTTTGTGTATCTTTGTTCCTTGATGCCCCAAGGTGATAACTATTGCAAACATCTCGTACGGAACAATGGGGATAATATTCTTCACTGTGCCATTCGGAGAGAATTCTTTGGTAACCTTTTCACTTTGCATATTGCATGCTTTGCTTCTCCCTCACTCATTTAAAACAATATTTCTTGCATGCAAAGCAACATACATGTTTTTCACACTTCTTTCCATAAAATAACACTTTTTACATTCTCAAATAAGTCGAAATTCTTCACTGTACCTCACGTTTCTCTTTGTTTAATGTGCTCATGATTTTCGGTGCTGTTTTCGCATGATGCAACAGATTTGGCACTTATAATAATGCACAAGTATCCCGAACTTAACGACGTTCAGAATAGAGAGGGATTCAGTCCTCTCAAACTTCTTGCCACTAGGCCCTCAGCCTTCAAAAGTGGAAGCAATCTGCGATGGTGGAAGACTATCCTGTACCATTGTAAGTCCCAGAAGTTCTTACACTACAGTACACATGGTTATCTACCACTCTAACATTAACATTTTTAGTTTGTTTAAGCATTTCAATCCTTCATCAATTTTTGATTAAAAAAATAACCATTCAAACATTTTTTTTTTAATTTCATTATTTATTATAATAGTTTTAGTTACTGTATTAACCAAAAAATTATTTTTAATTAAAATATATTTTAAAATTTGAGTTAATTTATTAGGATTCAGAGTTCCCACCAACGCACACTTTCTCCCTTTCCTTCACTACTCTGAACCACTGGTGGGAGTTAGGGTTCAGCTTCTTCGTTCTGAACCACTGGTGGGAGTTAGGGTTCAACTTCTCTTTGCCGTTCTGCCGTGACGCAGCAGTTCTGTCGTGCTTGGCTCGCTATTGCTCACTGTGACGTGACCCATTGGCTTGGCTTGGTGATTACTGATTTTGCATTTTGATTTTGTGAGTCCACTGTATCTTCGTGTGTGCCTTTAACATTGACCCTATTCAATGTCTCTCATTTCTTTCATCATTAAGCATTCATTCATTCATCCTTGCGAGATAGATACAATCATAAGACCTCTTCCACTTCCTCTTTCTCTGTCTCTCTTTTCGCCTCCAAACTATAAAGCATGCACTTCTCTATGGCCAAAAGATGACATCCACATAATAGGGAAAAAAAATAATTAATCGTCTCTAGTATTATCATCATAAGCAGGAAAAAGCAATGCCCCTTCCACGAGCATTAGAAAATTGATTCGTCTCTCTTAAAGTCTGAATTCTCAGGTTTCAATAATAATAAAAGAGGTTACATTTTTATATTTATTTGTTTAATTAGCGAAAGCCCCATTCCAGATTCCCAACCAAGAGACCTAAAACATTGCACATTCCTCGCCGTGATTCACTGCTTATATATATCTATATTTACACGCATCACACATACATTTTCATTTTCATTTTTGCTTAGTTTATGTCTCTCTGCTGTCAATAATTTCTTAATTGCTTTTCATTCATTCATCCTTGTGAGATAGATACCTCATATTTTGAAACATAATTCTCTGCTATTCCCTTTGTCGGTCTTTTATTGATTCCTGCATCCGTGTTTGATTCTGATGTAAAAACAGAGTCAGTTTTTTGTGCAAAAGCTAGTATTTTTTTAATTTTTATTCAATAATATATTTATATTATAAGAAACATTGCATAAATAATTTTCTAAAAGATAATCATGTCATGTAATTGCGCACTAACATATGGTCCCCCATATAAAATTAGTGGATATTTTGAGTTAACTGTTTGCAGTTCCTTGATTCCTTCTAGCATCAAACTTCTCCTGTGGGAATTTATTTTGATAAACACTATGAATGTAATACTCAGATTCTCTAAATCATTACTGATGTGGGTGTAATCTTAGTGCTAAAATCTTATATAATACTATATAGACTGATCATTCACTGTCGTACAATTTACAACTAACACAAAAAGATCTATTTTCTCCAATTAGCATTTGAAAGCAAGGAGAAGGAAGAGGAATTTGGTGGGGACATCCTGCTCCAAGTCTTTGATTTGCCTGCAAGAGTACAAGTTGTTGAAGGTAGCTGTTTATGGTATTATATTTTGTTTGGATACTGTCATTAGGCCTTTCTTAGCATTAATTGTTATTACGTAAACTCTTACAAATTGCAAGTCAAGTCTACTGACCATCCATGAGTATATGAAAACTATCAGAGTTTCACAATCTTGCTTGCAAGATCCCTTTGTGTGATAGAAAGTGAATCAGAATTGTAGAAAGCTAAGTTTCTATTAATAGAAAATTACAAAATAATTCCCAGGATTATTGAGAGGCTTAGACTCACCCATACCAACATAAATTTCCTCTCAAATCACAACATAAAATCTCACTTTCAACCCCTTTTCTTATTTATAAGCAACATGCCTTATTTCCTTAGTTATCCCAGCCCCTGACTAACTAACTCTCTGACCAACCAATTATTCTACTAACTAATGGGTATCTATCATTGTTTTCAAAGCATGGCAAATAGGTAAAATATTATGAATTTATGAGTCAAGTCTATGCACTTTCCATGAGTTCATGTACACTCTTAAGTTAGACAACCTTGCATGCAAGACTCCTTTGTGCTCACATCATGGATAATGCTCAAATATACTCTACCTTATTCCAAAGTTTAATTAAATTATGAAAAATGGAAACACCAAAGATCCTACTGTTGACCACTTGGTCACAACTTTAATATTATGTAAATTTTTTATTTTATATCTCTAAATAGAGTCAACACCAATATTTGGTATTCATTTACATTCATGGTTTACAGCAAACAATGAATCCATGTGCCATTAGGTCAGTCAGCCACATAGATAAATTGATGGCAGTAGCCTCCATCAAAAGCCAATTTTTCAATTAAATTAATCAATCAACAAGACATTTTCAAAAGTTCCTGGGCAAACATTGCTATAAAAAAATGTGAAATAAATACAACTATACAAGCTAACCTGAGCAATGGTAGCGACTTGCTCAGCCAATGTTCCATATGGATCATTATTTAAAGCATTTTGAAATGTATAATATGAGTTCACAATGAATTTTAGAATGAGAGCTATGTCTGAAATGTAAAGTTATTATATAATTTGTATTGTGATCTATGTTGCAAAATGAGCACATGAGACAGCAAAGTGAGCGTATGCATCAACAAGATCAACAGATGCAGTTAATCTTACGACACTTTCAAATTAACTCTCTTATGTTAGGGTCTAGTATACCAACTACCACTATGGATGACCCCAGACACCATGTTGAAGACGAGCAGCATGATCATGTTGATGACGAGCAGCATGATCATGTTGATGATACACCGAAAGATTGTTGATTGTATGTGTATTTCTCTTTTATGATCATATACTTGTTTTAGTTTTTACTATTAGTTAAATGTTATATACTCCTTTTAGATGCTTTTAGTTAATTGTGGTTTTGAAGACTTATTTTGGATGTTTTATATTAGTTATGGTTTAGAATACTTTATTTGATTTTTACTATTAGTTATTAGTTAAATGTCATTTCTTTTTTGGATTCTTTTTATTAGTTGTGATTTTGTAGATTGTATCAAACATTATATATTTTAATTATTTTTATTGTGATATTAGGACTATATATGCATTATCAATTTTAGTGTTATTGTTTATGATTGTTAAACAGGTTCAAAATGAAAATTAAAAAAAAATAAGATAGATAGTGTTCCAGGTTTAAAATTAGCGACCGATTTTTTCGTCTCTAAAAATAAAGAAAGCTTAGCGACCGAATTTAGCGACCAATACTCTTGTATCTAAAAATAAAGCAAATAAATTTAGTGACCACTTTAGCGACCGAAATAAAAAATATTTTCGAAAAATAAAAATTACACTTAGCGACCGATTTAGCCACCGAAATGAAAATCATTTTTATGTAATGAAAAACAAAAATTATTTAGCGATCGATTTAACGACCACAATAAAAAAATGATTTTTTAAATTTAAAAATATAAAAAACATAGCGACGGGTTTAGCGACGGAAATAAAAACATTTAAAAATTAAAAAATTTGTTTAGCGACCGATTTAGCGACCACTATAAAAAATGATTTTTTAATTTAAAAATAAAAGAAAAATTGTTTAGCGACCGATTTAGCGACCACAGTAAAAAAATGATTTTTTTAATATAAAAAAAGTAGCGACGGATTTTGCGACAGAAATGAAATTCTTTTAAAAATTAATAAATTTATTTAGCGACCGATTTAGCGACCACAATAAAAAAACTATTTTTAATTTTAAAATATAAATAAATGTAGCAACGGATTTAGCGACGGAAATTAAAATTATTTTTTTAAAAAAAATACATTTAGCGACCGATTTAGCGACTACAATGAAAAATAATTTTTTATTTTAAAATATAAAAAACTTTAGCGACGGATTTAGCGACAAAAATTAAAAAAAAAAATATTTAGCGACCGATTTAGCGACGTTTTTTTGGGTCCCTAAATTGGTCCCCATATCATATAGCGACCATATTGATAGTGACCAATTAGCGACCGAAAAATTCGGTCGCTAAACAGCGACCAACCGAATTTCCGTCGCTATATAAGTTTGCGACCAGGGTTTTTGCAACCACTTCAAATCGGTCGCTAATGTAAATAGCGACCGATTTGACCAATTTTGCGACCGATTTTTCTGGTCGCTAAAAACCTTTTTTTTTTGTAGTGGAGTCTAAGTGGCACACCTGAGCAATCGCCTATTGTTATCTATACCTAGTTCTCTTTAGAGTTCCTAACGATGTCCTATACCTGACCTGGTTAAGATAGGTCAAACATTGGATTTGGTAGAGTTTATGCCACCTAGACTGCTCAACCTCAGTTGTTGGAGATCTCCTACTTGTATATGTGTGATGACGCATTAAATTTTAAGTTGTATATTGTTGTTGTTGTATTAAAGTTGCTTCTATGTTGTATGAATGAGTTGGGTTTTATGTTAAATTGTGTGGTTGTTTGTGATGATGATTGAATGAATGAGTAGTATAGTATTTCCCTATACTTGTATGGTTGTTTATTGAATTCTAGCTTACCCTTCTGTTTCGATGTGAATGGAATGCTATGATCATATTGTGTATGGGAGCAGATCAGGGCTAAGTTGGAGCTGTTGGCTGCGTCCGCTGCTAGAAGTGGAATTTTTTTTGGTTCCTAGTATCAGAGTTACCACCTTGGGTAACAGTTTTGTGCTTGACCGGCACTAGGAGATATTAGTTTTGGATAACCGTATAAATACCTAATATTTAAAAACTCAATTATTCTTATATATTTTGCATGTTTTTGTATTTATAAGTCATCCAATTTTATTATTTATCTTAGTTCACTATTTTTAGTGCGATTCTACTAAGTGTAGGGACCACGGTGGGTCATTACACTTGCCACTTTACTTTTAAAATTTTACATATATTATCTCTTTATTAATTGATTATGTGACAAATTGACATTGATTGGATAAACTTATAAAGATTTTAAAGAACAAAAATTAAGTGTTTGAATTTAAAAGATGATGTTAAAATATTATTGTATTTATCTTTTATTGTTGCTTTATTTTAATTTTCTAAATTAAGATGAAGATATTTGAAAGATTATCCTTAGTAGCTATTAAGTTATAAAAATATAATCCCTTAAAATTTTGGAGCCATCAATAACAAATATCAGTTTTACAATAGCTTAGATTTAACACTATAATGTTATCACTACGTCAATTAATTGGTTGACGTTGTTAATTGGATACTAATCTAACATGTGAATTATTGATGTGATACAATATGTGTTGAGTACCAAAGTAACAAAAAAATAACAACTAAAATAAGAGATAAGAAAATAAGAACAAAAAGAGACAATAAACACAATAGGAAAAAAAAACTTTATGAGGAAATTACATCACTCTTTCACTTTAAAATTCACTCTTTAAAATAGAAGAATACTACTACTTTGAGAGAAAACTCTCAAAGTAGATAAAGAGAGGAGGGAAAGATTTGGAATGTGTTGGAGGGGGACAACTAAACTTTATTTATAGTCTTAGTGAGAAGTTCCCTCCAATGTAAGACTTCTTTTTCTAACAATTCTCCCATTTAAAGATTGTGATTAAGCTAACCATATCTTCACACTACTTCTCCCTACATTACTCTTTCTTCTTTGCCATTTCATGTTGCTTATGTTTCATAGGCCTTATGAAGATCGGCACCATATAAACTTGTAAGTGTTGATCAGCTTTGTCATCACATTTGCTAGGTTGTCTTTGGTATGAATCTTCTACATATCCAATCTTTCTTCTTCTACTACTTCATGAACAAAGTGATATTGTATGTCTATGTGCTTTGTTTTGGAATGAAATGCTAGATTCCTCGTAATGTGCAAGACTCTTTAACTATCACAATACACAATAGTCTTCTACTATTTGTGCCCAAGTTCCTCCATTAGCCTTTGAATCCAAATTGCTTCCTTGAATTTTTGGGTAGCTGTCATGTATTCAACTTTTGTACTAGATAGAGCCACAACAATTTGTAACTTGAATAAGTAGCTTATTGCCCCTCCAATTAAGTGTAGAGTCATAACTAGTAATAGATTGGGTACACCCACAATCTCCTAGAGTAATCATCAATGAATAATGTAGAGTATTTTACTTCTCCCAAAAATACTTTCGGTAATTCCCATACATCATAATGGACCAAGTCAAGTATGTGTCTATTATTAGTAGTTATTTTGGCAAACTTCAATTAATGTTGCTTGCTTATTATACAGTGCTCATAAAATTGTAAATTTATCGCTTTGAGCCTTGACAAGAGATTACGTTTCACAAGAATTTTTAGGTCTTGCTCTAACATATGACCAAATCTATGATGTCAATATCATCGTTGCTTCCTTTTAACTTGTTGCGACTAATGCATTTCTCCCAAAAGCATGTATAGATTGGTTGTGATCTTCTCTTTTTTCATCACTACCATATTTCCTTTAACTACCTTCAAGATTCCATCTTCAATGTGGATCTTGCACCTAAGGTCATCCAATTGCCCAATGGACAATAAACTTTTCTTTAAACCATTCACATGTTGTACTCCTTGAATTGTTTGAACAATACCATCATACATTTTTAATTTGACAGTACCAACTTTAGCAATTTCTAGGGCATGATCATTTCCTATAAACATAGATTCTCCTGAGATAGGTTCATAAGTGTAAAACCAATCTTGGTGTGGAGTCATGTGCTAGGTTGCACCTGAATCCAATATCCAACAATCACAGAGTTTATCTCCCACCTTTAGAACTCACTACTACTTCATTGTATAAGACTTCCGCATCATCTGAGGTACTTGAAACGCAACCTTGAGAGGTTGAGGCTTTAGAGTTCTTCCATCCACTTTTCTTGTGCCAACAATCTTTTTTCATGTGCCATTTTATGTCACAATTGTAACATTTGAGATTCTTCCATCTCCAAGATTTTCAATCTATCATGATTTTGACTCCCATTAGGATCACATTTTGTTGATCTCCTTCTCATCATTGTTAATACTTCTACTTGTTTACAATTTTCCAACCTATCTTCCTTATTTTTGTGCTTGGATTCTTCTGTTGAGCTTAGGAGAGCTTGAAGCCTAAAGAAGTTTTGAATGCAAGAAAATACATGTCTTTAAAGAATGTACTTGTAAAAATCAAGTTGCTCAAATGATTTTACAACATGTTGGATGTGTGCCTTACGTCAATCTAATAAAAATGATCTCAAATTGCATTTGTGATCCTTAAGAAAATATCATAAGTGCAATCAAAAATCATTTTAGAAGTTAAAAGTCAAAATGTCTTTTAAGGAAAATATCCTTTGAAAGATAGAAGTATTTTAAAATGTCAAAAGTCTGTTGAAATTGAAAAAAAAAATCATTTCTTCATACTAAAGCAAAAATATTTTCGAAGATAAAGAAAAATAAATATTTCAAAAATTCAAAAACGTGTTTGTCACCATCAAAAAGGGAGGGATCGTTAAGTCAAAAGACGATCTTGGATCCCTCAAGATTTGGAATTTTAATGTTAACAAACAAAATATTTTTACAAGAGAAAATATCTTCAAAAATGTTTATCAAATGAAGTGTAAGATGTAGATCATTTGTAAAATAATGTGAATCAGATGAAGCATATAGTCTATCTCATATACATTAAATTATCATTATTTAATGAGATTAATGACAAAATTTATTTAAATGCTTTATTCCTTAATAGAAAAAAACTAGAAAGTCATATTGGAAAGGTGATAAGTAGCTTCCTTGATCAGGTAAGAGGTACTATTTGGAGAAATACATTTAATGTTTGCATTAAATGAGTCAACGGTTATCTTTCATCACAAGGAAAGATGTTGAAGACAAACAAAGCAAACTTATAGGTTGGACTCAAAGCGTTGCAACGGACATCTTCGCCAAAGCTACTATATAAGAAGATTTGAAGCTTAAAAGGAAGCGAACGCACAAGTACAAAGATATACACGAAGAAACACACTATAAATTATATTTGCATACAAACTTCATTCTTTCTTGTAAAAAACTTAGTGCATTATATTGGTTGTATAATCTCTAAGTGAGATTAAAACAACATCT